TTTTCTTGTAAATTCTGTAACTTTGCAAAGAAATATCGTGTAAAGCTGGGAGATGTCTCATTTTGATGCAAAACGTACGGGCTAAAATTCCAACATGTTAAAAAACACTAGTATGATTTTAGGGGATTTCTGGAAAACCGATTTTCCAGAGACCCGGTCTCACGAGGCCCATCAGCCCAAACGAATGCCATATTCGGATTCAGCATATTTGATTACCTATTGCCCACTTGCTCACGGCTGGAAAGCGATTTGTCACTTGGTGTCCTTTCCTCGTAAGTTTGGTCAGAAATCGTAGCGCTGCCTAAGTGTTTTAAAAGTTTGCCTTTAAGAGTTTCGCATTAGCAACACTGTTTTTCTATACAAAACTAGATTCTGAGTAATTTTCATTTCTACTGTTTTGCTCAAAATACCTTCCTGACGAGAAGGTGCATATAAAACCTAAAAAAAAATTCTAATTGTTGCACTCAAACCCATTTTCTAAGTGATTTTCCAATTTCTCTCTCAAATCTTGTCCGATAATGATGAAACTTTTTGCACATACACATCTCGATATGCTCTATCGAATGACATCAAAAATGAACTTCAAAACTGAAATTTAGAAATTTCATTAAATTTTTAAAAATAGACTGGCATAACCTGAAAATTTTGCAAATTCAATAACACGGTCAGACAATGTTCGTAAGACCTCAAAGTTTCAGGATATATATTCTAAGATATCCTCTACAAACTTACAAAGTTTGAGCGAAATCGAAATGGGTGGACCCCTTTAAGACTATGCTTTTTTGTAGAGAGAATATTGGAATTGTTGTAGAATTCTTAATATTATAGCTGATTCTCGAAATAAACAAACTTTTCTATTATACGTTTAGCTTGTTGTACGTTGAAGTACGAATAAAAAACTAACATGATCATTTTTATTTTCAGTGAATTTTGCTATAAACTCAATATAATTTATTATAGGGAATAAAGACATCTGCTAATGTAAGATAAGCTATTAGGAATAAGTTCGAAAAATATCATGTTCATTCATCATCTCATGTCAGTGGTAGAAGAACAACCTTGATAGTGGCATTCACCAATAGAACTATCCTAGTATCCTTGTAAGTTTATATAATTTGATGAGATATATGGATCCAACATGTGTATTTCATATTTTGTTGCAACTTTCGATGTTGTCATCGTGACACATCTGTTGTCTCTTTGTACTACACAGTTTTTCTATTTTCTATAAACGCTAGTCTATTTGTCAAAACGATATCTACTATTAACAACGACGTTTTAATACAATATGAATAGGTTCAACAGGTCTCATGACGATTTTCAATGCTAAACAAACATCTTGGATTTTCTGCGTTGTCATCAATGAAAATTTTCTTAGTAATGTTGATAAAAATACTTTTTCTTCCAACATTGCAAATCTTTGTCCCTAAAAATATGAAAATAAAAACTACGGTTTAGTTAAGGTTTAGCTTTCCGGTAATGTGCATCGCTTACCAATGCAATTTCTCGAACCAGCACTAAATGGAATAAAAGCATAATGATAAGAATGTTGTGCACTATTCTCTGGAAGAAATCTATCAGGATCAAATTTATTTGGATAGGGAAAATATTTTGGATCACGAAGAATAGCTCTTAGGAAGATATAATATGTTTGACCAGCAAGAATTTTGTGACCATCTATAAAAACAATAACAATCAATAGATTTACTCATGACAATAACTTGTGAAAAAAGAAATTTGCTTACTGTATGTAATATCTTCTTGCTATTCGCGAGCAACGGACGGAACTGATGGCAATAATCGTAACGATTCCTGAAAAAGAGAGATTTCTATATGCAAAAAAGAAAACACTCGGATATGTTTACTTTAATAACACACTCTAAATAATCCAATTGTTTTAGGTCGTCCATTGTACATGCGCGTTCAAGATCATCTTCTGAACAAAACAAAAATACAGATATTAGAAAAAGATCATTTTTAATTATAAAATATTCTCTTTATTTCATCATATAATTTTTCTTGTATATGTGGATGTGATGCGATGAGAAAACAAGCAAAATTCAATGCTGCCGCAGTAGTGTCATGTCCCGGTGAGAGATAGATTCAGATATTTCATTCGTTTACTTAAGAAAAGTACTCGCCTATCTCTGAATTTCTCAAGTACTTTAATATTTTAGATTCTTAGAAATACGGAACAGAAACCAAAGACTAGTTTTATGTCGGTTCGATGCAGTTTTTCCCACGCTACAAAACTATATCAAGTACCACGTCTTTTTATGCTTTGATCCAGAGAAATTTAATTTCAAAAAAGCACTCGGAAGTTAAGTACTTGAAAATTTTTTTCATCTTTCATCAACAGAGATAAAGCTGGTCTCTGCTTTCTGTTCCAAATTCAAAAAAATCTAAAATACCAAAGTACTCGAAAGAAGTACCCGCCCATCTGTGGAGTATTTAATAATACATGCTGTAAATTACCTCAAAAATAAACGTGTCTAAAATGAAGAAGAGTATTTACAGAAATCAAAATGCATGTCGTCAACCAGAATCTTGACCAACTTCTTCTTGAATATCTTCCATAGTTAGTTGTTCTTCATGCATTTTTGCTAATAATGTATCGAGAAATACCATACTTTTTGAATGGAATTGACTTCTGTCATATTGCTGAGTCCGATTATTAATAATATGAGAGAAAAGAAGTGAGAAGAACATCACTCATTTTACGCATGTGTGTATGCCTTCGGAGAACAACCTACATTTCTTAAAAAACTCATGAAGAATTTTAATCAATTTATCGTATTCCCCACCGATGGGGAGCCATTTAAATAAAAAATCAGGCCACATCCATGGTGATATTACACGTCGAATCATAATGTCACCAAATCTATAAAAAATAAATTATTTTTAGGTTTCGCACACGAGTTACATTCACTCAACACTCATTTTTCTTTAAATGAATTTTATCAGAATCGTGTATGAACTCAAATTTTTGATCCGATCCATCCCGGTCTAGTGGATCTTTTCGAGATCAGTGCAGATCAAGTCAATTCGATAAATTTTTCTAATCTATGGACTGGGTTGTCAGAGGCCAGTTACGAAAAATTCTCTTGGCTGAAGTCCATGAGCTCAAATTTATATTGAAGTGCTGCAGATTTTCACAAGTTCATTCCACTTCAACATTCGACGTCTCACAGTTTTCTACGGATTCATGCAGAAAAAGGATTAAGGAGAGCTGTGAGACGTCCCATGTTGTTCACAATGGTTTGCTCTATGCGCCTCTCTTATTTTCAAAACAATTAACTGATAGAACTCTGGTACCTGGTTTACCAGAAATCCCCTTCGGAACATCTCTTGAAGGATTCTGATACACACATCTTCAAACAGGAAGCTCTTGCAGTTATACACATCTTTTGTCAGATTGTTCTAGCTAACTATCATGGTTGAGAATCAAAAATAAAAATAGACGATCACTTTTTTACCCACTGTATATCAGAGATACATGGAGATGGGAAACCTGCAGAGAAGCCCGCGATGAAGCCCTGACTTGGGTGCATCCATGCATTTGTGCTGTATATTTATATTTATGTACTATGTACATCGGATATGTATAGAATGCAAGTCGATGCAAGTAAAACCTAACCATTGTAATTGGGTTGGCAATAAAGAACGGGGGTCGATAAGAGGCAAAATCGGCCTCCTCTCAGATCAAGCTCATATTCACAAGTCTGATGTAGTTTTTCTCGGTGGTTAAAACTAGCATCTCAAAAAGCCATTTTCAGCCCCCCTGGAACAAATTCCGCACCCGAACTTTTCTCCCCTTAAATGAACTTTATTTAAAATATTTTCCCAATTTCTCCTCTTTGCCCAACGAAAACCTCAACTACTGCACATCATTCGATAGAGAATTTCGCGAGCTACAGAACGATATATATAATATTGAGAACAAATAGGCACGGGTGTCCTAACACTAGAAATAAGTTTTGGCGGGGACGCCAAAACTTGATCTTCAAACAATGATATATGTCGTCGTTTCGACTTAAATCGTTTTGAATAGATATATCTCGTCCTTTTTACTTGCATTGTGTTGAACAGAGATATTTTGTGAATTTTCAACACAGAATATGTCTCTCTCGTCTGTGCGAATATATATATCGATGTGTTTCGAATGCTTTTGGTTGTTTGGGTGGTTTGGAATAAAAGTGATTATAATTAAGAGAGATTTGCACAGTTTACTTGTATAATGGATCGTTGTTGTTCTTGCGTAGCTCGTTTACTTAGAGCGTCTGATTTTCGACGATTAGCACCACCGGTATTTCGTATGTTTATATCGATACGTGTATTGAAAACACTTCCGTGGCACACGAAAGTTTGTAATAAATGTCGCCAGTCATATGCGTATTGGAAAAGATGTAATCCGGAATTTACAAATATTTTCGACCGGATCGAAGAAGAGTTTGTTGAAAATAGTGAATCAGAGGATGATCAGGTAAGTGAAACATTGATGATTATTTCTGTGACGTCGTATACAGCAACCTGTTTTATTGCTGTTTTCAGGTAGAAGATATGGATACCAACGTTTGATCTGCAATAAGAAATTTATCAGACAAAGAATGTCAAATTATAGAACAGGCTGCTGCAGACAAAGAATGTCAAACTATCGAACAGGATGATGGAACGCCGAGTATTACGTTGCCACTTAATTGTACAGTTTGCTCTCATAAGTAAGTAAATGGTCTGAACACTGACTGCAACAACATCATTAATTCTGAATAATGTTCAATTGTTAATAAATACGTCCCAAATGCTTTACAATAAAAGAAAACGTTTAGATTTCGATGATTGTAATGCGATTTCTAAGGATGAATTTTATACCTTGACGAGCTTAAACAAAGCACAATTTGATAATTTAATAAAAGAGATAGCAGTTTCACCAATTCGTAATACGTCAATTAGATCGATACGCACAGCGGTGGCCTGTTTATTATCTAAATTACGGTTGGGTTTATCTAATACAGTTCTGGGATTATTATTCGAATTACCAGATAAACGAGCTGTATCTCGAGTTAGTGAAAGTTATTTGAAAGAATATGGTTTGGGCGCAGTAAAAATGCTACTCTTCCTAGACGATTCATCATAAAACCTTCATTTTTTTATTTTGAAGTTAAGACATTTATCTAAATTTTGTCAGTAACGGTTTTTGAATTTCGTTTTCTGTGCAGAGAAAAGTGAAAAATACTCCTCCGAGTTTAGGGTTATTTTCAGAATTCTGACTTAAAGTACGTGTAGGGAATGAACCGAAGCGGAAAAAAATCCCGCTGCGGACAAACTTTATATTTAAGTATCTACCTGAAATACACCTGATTACATATATCTTTAAGTTCGCTCGATGAACTAATAACTATTCTTAGAGTTATTAATTAATTAAGTTTAAATTTTAATTAAAATTTAAAGTCCTAGTCCTAATTTTAAAAAACTTGTAGCTCAGTCAAAAATAATCGTAGAAAAGTCATTCATGCATTTCTTGATAGTCAATGGACTGTTGTTATGGTCTGATGTAAAAAGTTTTAAAAAAAGTTTGTTTAAGACAGTAATTTAAAATTAATTATGCTAATGAATACTAATTAATATCACTCTGGTGCCTTACACTTTTATTTGCAAATTAACGGTTTATGGGGAACAATAAAGTAATACGTCATTCGACAGAGATTTTCAAACGCTACAAACTCCCGTATTAGTCTTTTCAAAATGATACCGATAAGCAGTTATTTGTACTCGGTTTTAGGCAAACGGGATTTTTACTATGGATTTCTTAACAGAACGGCCATGGATGTTTTTTGAATAACTCGAGAACGAAAAGAGACAGAGAGTTCGGATTTTCAGCATTTTGTAGAGAAGGCTTTACTTCATCTCACATATATCCGATACTAAACATCTCAGTTTTTCAGGAGGTATACCTCTAGCGCTTGTGGTTCTCGAATGGCAGGCATTTCCCTGAGTCATCCGTAATTGGTTACCATTTCGTCGGGTAAATGCCTGTCATTTGAGAACCACAACAGATAGAAAGGTCGACCTTACGCAGAATTGTAAAGAACCCTTTGGGCTATCTAGCCACCATGTTATAATCCTTCAAACTGAAATTCAATCGTCCTCTTCAAACTGACATAGTTTGAGTGCACATATAATGTGTATGGAACCACTCCTTAACTGCAGTGTCAAACTCTTGCCAAAGATCTTACAGTAACGAAGCATGACGAAGTAAAAGTCTTGCTGCAAAAATTTTGCGCAATGGCCGACTGCGGGAGATAATGCTGTCTATTTTTCAGAGTTAATGGGAAAATTTTGAAAAAAATTAAATTTAAATTCTTTTGAGGTTTAAATTTAAAACATATGGAAGAAAATTTAATCAGACAACGTTACCCCCCACAGTCGGCCATTGCGCACTTTTTTTTATGCAAAAGTTTTCCACCATGCACCGTTTTTGCAACATTTGGCAAGGTTTTATTCAAAATACTTTTGTATTTTCCAGCAAAATACATGGGGAAAAAATTTTGCAACTCAATTTTGATCACTTTTTTTACATTTATGACCCCATAAAGGGGTATTATTCTGGCGTGGCCCATCGAACTGTACAACATATCGAAATGAAAAGAGAGTGTTTACCACACCTATAAGCCAGCCTTTTGACCCACATCTTTTTTTCAAAAACATTTTTCCTGTTTCGAAAAAATCTAACTATTCAATTTTGTTCAAAATTTTTCGCTAATCACAACAATAGAGTTTTTTTCAAAAAAATATGTGGACAAAAACGGGACTAGTCCTTTATTCATATTCAAGTGAGAATTATCTCCTAAATTTTACAAAAAGTAACAATACGTGTAAACATCGGACGGAAGAAGTTAAAGATGGCTTATCTAGTACGTAAAAATGTGGGAATTAAAAAACAATTTTGAATTTACAACATGAAGTCTCAAGAGGCGTGCAAACAGTCTGAAAGTAGAAGGAATGCTTTCCAGGCTCATTACTGCAGTTTTTATACAGATTCATATAAATGGGCTCCATTCTACCGTTTTTCACTACGTATACTTAATTTTAAATAAAAGATGGTTCGCTACGAATGGCCATCGGAAATACACACATATTCTCTCTCGATAGAACAGATCAGAGAAAGACTTTTTTTCGTCATATTATGGTAAATCAATTTGTTTTATTTTCGAGTACCATCCATTTACAATATGATCTCTTATCTTTCATTCATGCATCATTATATATTTGTTTTTAGCTCTATCTCTCTGTAATCATGCGCAATTCACTTACATTAATAGCAGTACACATGTTCTATATTATATGTCGAAAGACGTCAACGTTTTGTTCGCATATATTTCCTATATCCTATAGTGTTTTTACTTGATACTAAATACGCTAAATGTTACTCTTTGGAGGTTTTTCATAGTCAAATAATTTTGCATAACACCGGTAAGTGATTTTTTTCTCTTTGAATAGAATTGCTGTTTTTGAGCACGTAAAGCGAAATAATAGTTCTTTTTGACTTACTTTTATCTATAGGGATGTCACTTTACTGTTCATTACCAATGGATAAGTAATAAAACGTATTAGTTATTACCCGGAAACAAGTAATAAATCTTATTACTTTATTATTTATTATGTTTTTCAGGTAATAATCTTTTATTACTTTACTTATGACTGATACGAAGAAAAGTAATAAAAAGTAATAAGTAAAATGATGAAAAATTATTACATAAAGAAGTAATAAGTAATAAAACAACCAGATTTATTACCTTTTTA